CCTCAGACATTTTACTTTTCGCTGTCAGTTTTCATCTTCTCCACATGTAAATGTACTGCATGTATCCTGCCCTGGCCATCTCTGGTGAATATGATTGAAAGCTGGTTCCAACTCCCCTTTTTTCCGAGGCAATGCTCCCTCTTCAGAGCTGGTCAGTGCAGCACTTTGTGAGTCCTCTGCTGCAGAGAAGCCAAACCTAATCCTAATATTGTGGGGATATATTGCCACAGGTTCAAGAACTCAGGCAGGTAGGGAATCCAATGGTTCTGGTTCTGGCTTAGTTTTCACTACAAATTAGCCTTGTGGCATAAGATAAATTTTTTCCTCAGGCCAGGCATAGTGGCACATGCCTGTAATCCCAGCAGCTTCAGAGGCTGAGGCAGGAGGATCACAAGGTCAAAACCAGCCTCAGCAACTTAGCAGGACCCTGTCTCCCCCTCCCACACTGGGGATTGAACCCAGTGGCACTTAACCACCGAGCCATATCCACAGCTCTTTTCTGAATTTTATTTAAACACAGGGTCTTACTGACTTGCTTAGGGCCTCACTAAATGGCTGAAACTGGCTTTGCACCATGGCTGGCGGGACTCTGTCTTTCAATGAAATATTTTAAAAGTCTGGGGATATATGGCTTGGTGCTTAAATGCTCCTGGGTTCAATCCCTGGTACAAAAAAAAAAAAAAAATCTGCCCCCCTGGATTTGGATTTGCTGGATTTGGATTTGCTGGATTTGGATTTGCTGGATTTGGATTTCCTTGCATGCAAGTGATGGGGTTGGGCAAGATCACCAAGATTCCTACTGGCTTCAAATTTTATCTTTGGGGCATGAGGGAGAAAGAAACCTCAGGCACCTGAGTATGCAGAAATAGCTCAGATTTGGAGGCCAGAATCCTTGTGTCCTTGTGCCTCTGCTTCTTATCTAAATAGCTTTGAACAGATTTTTTTGTTGTTGTTGTTGTTTTATTTTTGTTGTTGTTGTTTGTTTTGTTTGTTTGTTTGTTTTTGAGGTGCTGCAGATGGAACCCAGGGCCTTAGTACATGCTAAGCAAGCACTCTGCCACTGAGTTCCATCCCCTGCACCTCGGTTTCCTCACAGTGGTTTTTGTTTGTTTGTTTGGTTGGTTGGTTTAAGATTCAATGATGCTTGTAAAGGCCCTTGAGTAGGTAAGGCAGTGGGAAGCAGTATTGGGTAATTGATCCTCCTGTGTCTTTTACCTGCGAAACAGCTGCAGGTGAACCACAGATGGCGCCACCTTCTCCACCACCTCGGCGATGAAGTTGTATTTGCTTCGGACCCTGCCTGCGCTTCTGGTCCCTGTGAAGAAATGCTCCATGCTTGGGGCAGAGGGAGCCTGGCTCCTCTGCAATATCAGGTGTAATATCTCATTCATATCTTCCCATCCATTATCCTCCTCCCTGGTTCTCTTTCCGTCCCCTCCCTCTCCTCCCGCCCCCTCCCTCTCCTCAGGCTTCCCACTCCGCCTGTGGACTGCGGCCCCATACACCAACACCTCAAGAGAGCCAGACCTGTCACACCAATTGGAAAATAATTACAAAGGGAAGACAGTATTCAAAAGGCGAATGGGGAGAAACCGCGTGGTAACTGGTAAAGAGACACCTATTAAGGAGGAAAGAAAATCAGAAACAAACAACAAAAAAAGTTGAATCCCCGGGGCAAATAAAACAGTGAGCCGCATGCGGACTGTGGGATTGAAACGAGGGAATGAATAATTATGCTGAAATTCAAGGATTGGGGTATTGCTCAGTGGTAGAGCACTTGCCTAGTACGCCCGAGGGTGCTACCCGCAGTCCCCCCAAGAAAACCGGGCGTTGATGGGTCGGTAGCCGGGGCGGTGGCACACGACTCTTATCCTAGCTACTCCGAAGACTGAGGTGGGAGAATCGCTTGAGCCCAGGAGTTCGACAACAGCCAGAGCAATAGAGGAAGAAGAAAAAAAGTTCCAAAAAAGTGTTCCGAGTCGGGACACTCCTGGGTTCAATCCCTAGTACCAAAAAAAAAAAAAAAAGATCTGCCCGCTGGATTTGGATTTGCTGGACAAATCCAAATTTATCCTTGCGCTCACCTGGATCCCCGCAGTACCCTTTCTGCACCGGCACAGCTGGAAGCGCGCCACGGAGACGCGCGGCGCGGTTCTCCGCGCGGAGCGCGCACAGACTGGCATAGGTGCGCCCGTCGCTGCCGCACACCGCCGCCCCTGTCGCCGGGCAGCCGCAGGTGCCCAGCCAGGGGCCGCCGACGTACTCCTGGCTGAAGGGCGCGCCACATTTCAGCCCAGGGCGGCAGGGCAGGCCTCGCGCCCCGCCGCAGGCTTCGCCCTCAGCTGCAGCACAGACGCGGCAGCAACGGCAGCGGTCGAGCACTGGTGTTGTCCCCGCGGAACAGGTGGGCAGCGGAGGACAGCGCGTCGGCTCGCAGACCACGGGGCAGGGCAGCAAGGCTCTGGATCTCCTTGCCTCGACCCTGGCCACAGGTACCGGGGTCAACAGCAGCCACAGCAGAAGGAACTGTACGAGCCCAGCTGGCTGCAGCAGAGGTCTACTCATCTTGCTTTCTTCTTCGCTTGCACTTTTCCAGTTACTTCACTCTGGACTCACAAGCTGGCCTAAGATGAACAACACTTTCCTGGCCAGGTTGCCTGCCGCCTCCACCAGCCTCCAGGCTTTAAGGGGCAGAGCCTGGCAGACCTCTCCGTACACACACCCATACATCACCCACCACCCGTCCCGCCCCAGGTTCAGGGCCACCCCCAAGCACTGCTGGCAGGTCCGTAGCCCTTTCCTGAGAAGAGATCTACACCATGAACCCCGCCCGTTAAAGCAATACTGAGGACAAACTGACAAGAGCCATCACCCACCCAAGGTCAGTATTAAGAAAACACACAACCGTATTACAGTATTTCACATGGTTTTATTACAAAACAAGCAACAAAACAGTTTTAGAAAATTATTTTTGCTACATACCAATTAGGAGATCACATAAAATGAGAAGCATAACAGTTTCCATGCACTCAGCTCAGTGCTTGCAGCGAGTGCATTTCACAGCTGAAACAGTTTGGTTCAACATAACACAACATCATGCCACATCTTCATAAGCAGAGGGGGAAGGGGTCACATAATATGTTTTTGCCAAACAGTTGCTTCATTCAAACTCTACCTATCGCTTGTGACTGAAATTGCTGCAGGCAATAACACAGAAAAAAAAAGGACCAAGGGGAAAAAAGGATGTTGGTAGAAAATATTTAATAAACCTGCTCATTTCTGACATGTTTAAAGTTAATAAAGAAAGATGACTTGAGAAATTAAATTTCCAAAATGCTATTAATGTGTCCATATACCTGTTTATCTGGTTAACACTGAAAACAAACTCATCATAMCCCCTGCTTACCTACTGAATCTGCTATTTATTTATGGGGTCATTTTAATACATATCAGAGCACATTTACATTCAGAGAGAAAAAACCCCAACTTTTTCTTCCAGTAAACTAAGACTCTACACCTTAAATCTACTCTTTCTCATATGAGCTCAGCATTCTGCTCTGAAGTAGAAGTATAACTCCACTATTTTGACCTGAGGTCATTCTCCAAGATGTGCCCCTACAATGTCTCACAGAAAGCAAAAGGGAAACTATTTTTACCAACTATCATCTCACCTTAAGTAAGCGAGTCCATCAAAGTTTTCAAGAATAATGGATGGTAAGCAGTTCAGCTATAGAAAAGACCACATGAAATACCATTACACATATGTGGGTCAGGACAACTTCAAAAGCCTCATGGAAAGAGCCAATTCAGGGGCTGGGGTTGTGGCTCAGCAGTAGAGTGCTGGCCTCGCAGGTGCAGGGTGCTGGGTTTGATCCTCAGCACCACATAAAAATAAAATAAAGGTATTGTGTCCAACTATAACTAAAACATAATATTAAAAAAAGAAAGAGCGAGCCAATTCAGATAAAGTTTCATTCCCCGAAGAAAAAGCTATACCTTTTTTAGTTCTTTTTTTAAAAAAAAATCCAGATTTAATCCAGAGCTTAAGCACTTAGCCACTAACCCCTATGGCACCCCCAACCCATTTTTTCTATTTGATTCAATTAAATGCTATGGTCATATATGTACCATCTTTGGCTCATATTAAAAGGCTCTGGTGTGAAACTGGCCAGAAGGTAAGAAATATGGACAAAGATGGAATTTTGAAATAAGGTTTGGGAATGCAATGCTTTTAGGCTTTATGGAAGTTATTTTTATTTTCCTGATATTGTAACTATGTTAATGATGTTCTAACTTGGAATTCCCAAGTATTCCTAAGTATATACCAATAAGAGTCCTTGTTTTCCCTTTATTAAGATAATACTAGCTGGATTATATTTAACACCCTTTCAAAACAGACTTTACTAAATGAGAATTCTATCAGCTTACTATAATGGTCAATTACTTAAGCAGTAGTAACCTAGCAGAGACTTACAAAAAGAAAATGGGTATATTTTCACAATTTAAACACCAAGAGATGACATCATTTCCATGAGTCAGGGAATGTTTGAAGAGATTTAAAACATTAATTTATTTTCATTAGTTCCACATCACATACTGTGCACTTGTATTTATCAGCCAAATAATTTTCTTGAGAAAAATCTGAAGGTGAAACCAGACAAGGAACTTTAAAAATCTGGAATGGCTTCTTAAAATCAGGCTATTCAAAGTAGGTTGATCACTCATAAATAAATAATTCCCAAACCAAGAATTTCTGAGGAAAAAGGTACACAAGAGTTTATTTTTAAAAGAAGATGGGAAGAAAAGAGAAAGATCCAGTAGATTTCTCTTTTTAGATTAAGACCACAAGACTAAACTTAAGTGAAGGACAGCTCCAACACAGTGAAATCAGAAAGAGTTCTCAATGTGAAACACATTTCAGAAAAACAGCACTACCTGGAAGAACATGATTCTTTTCAAAGCCACTAAAAATTTCTTCTTCAAGTGTTTTTGCTTCTGCATTAGATATGGACACAAGGAGGAGCCGGGATTTATTTAGGAAAAAATGCTTAGTCTCTTCCTCTAGTCACTATTTTCAATTAAAGTATAATTAACTGATCTAGCTGATGAAAGCTACTGATAGAAATAAGCCAAGTTCTCTATCCCTTTATGAAACCCTCCTAAGTTTCTGATAGCAAAAATGCACTAAAGAAACTGGATAGGCAAATGTGCCCAAGGACACTAGAAATAGTATCTTGTCCAGTAGAAGAAAATATGTCCTCAAATTTGTTTGGGCAACTCATCCTCCTGGGAAATCTCTATAGTCAGTAATTCGTAATCTCTAAATCAATGCTTTTATGCCCCATTTTTATTCCACTAAAATATAATCTCAAGATTATCTTTGTATTTCTCCACATGGAACCTCATCAGATTACAGGGTCTGATCATGCAAGCACACACAACTCCATCCAAAGGGCAACAGAAAGGACAAAAAGAAAGCAAATCTGCCAAGGTATATAATAAACAGCACTTAAAATTAGACAAATGTTGGCCCATCAAAAAGAGCTGTGAGGCAAGGACTCAAGGCAATCTGTCTTTACCAGAATAAAACTTTTCTCCTATCCAGAAAACATGGATCAAAAAACTTAGCAGGATGATCCATCTCTTCTCAGCACCTGCTTTTAACCTATCTAAAACTCTGAGATAGAGATTGATCTATCACACACATGAATTATCACACGCTTACCAACCCCACACATTCCAAGTAACACCATTATCAAGGGAAATGTCTGTTCTGTTCTCAACAGTCATAGTATTTAACACTGATATACCCGGTCCTTGGGGCCTGATAAAGAAACAATTCTAATGGGTCTGTTCCTCAATCTATAACATTTGGGGTCATAGCATCAAGAGAACAGAGTAATTTTCAAAACTGGCTCATGCAGTAGAGTTGAATTATTCCTCAGGCCTCACAAAAGATCCCCATCTCTTCTCCTGGGAGGTATCCTAGGGGACCCACCCTTGCAGACATATTCTAAAGGCCACCCTCCAGATTCTAAACACTACCTCTCAGAACGGCTCCCTGTCAAGCCAGAATCTGGGTTTTCCCCTACTCTGAAGCCTTTCAGCCTTTCAGCTGGGTTAGTTACCTGCTTCACAAACTTGAACCAATACATAGGTATGGACTAAAACCAGGTGACTGGCCTAAGAGCCTGTGCCCAGATTGAAAACAAAACAAAATAAAACAAAACAAAACAAAAAACTAAAAACAAGGACAAGGAAGTAAAACTTGGTAAGGGCGAAATGACTCCCAACCTCTTCAGGAACGGAGATGCTAAAGATAGCCCATCACACAAAAGACCTTGGAATAGATCAACAAGAGGCAAGCTGCTCTCTCTTCACTGAGTATGCCTACAGATCTAACCTAGTGATTTCCCCCAAATTAAATATACTGCATTGATAATACAAAAAAAGGGGAAAAAAAAAAAAGCCACTTGGCTGGGCCCCTCCCACACAGCATCCACAGGAATATGAGTGCCATTAAGGGCTCTGACTGTCCTCCAACAAGGAGAGAAAATGAGCCACGGCCTCTTTCTCTCAAGTCCTCCCTCCCTCCCCCACTTCCTCCCACGGCACTGTGCTTCATCACACATCAGAGGTCCGTATGTTTTCATCATCAAGGTTGAACACAAAGGGTTTCTCCTTGGGGTGCTGGGGCTCTGATCTGTGCCTTATTCGGGAGCCTGACAACACCCCAGCAGTACTGCTCTCCCCAAGTCGAGGCATGAACAGAGAGTCCTCTGGAGTCTCTTCAGCTGGAAGCAGCTTTTCCCCAGCCTGGGGGACAGGTGTCCAGGGTTGCCAAGCAGAGGCCACAGAAGGGGCTTTGCAGAGGGTTTTCTTCTCTTCCACAGGTGGCCGCCCTCTGCAGAAGACAGAGTTAGGCCCCCCTGTGAAGCCGGAACTTCCAGGTCGAGTCAAAGAAATGGATCTGGAAAAGGATATGTCCTGGAAACAAAAAAAGGCAAGAAAAAAAACAAAGGAAAGTAAGAGCTTTTCCTGACAATGTTTATCCCAAAGCCCCAAGAAAAAATATCCACCCAGGATCACCACCTCATAGGTCCAGAGACACTTGTCTACAAAAATCAAATATGAGATATAAAATGATTGATTCATAATGGGGTAAGGGACAGGGAGCATGGGAGGAATAGACAAACTCTAGATAGGGCAGAGGGGAGGGAGGGGAAAGGAGGGGGCATGGAGTTAGAAATGATGGTGGAATCTGATGGACATTTTTATCCAAAGTACATGTATGAAGACATGAATTGGTGTGAACATACTTTATATACAATCAGAGATACGAAAAATTGTGCTCTATATGTGTAATATGAATTGTAATGCATTCTGCTGCCATTTATTTTTTTAAAAATCAATAAAATACATTTAAAAAAATCAAATACGTGTGGCAAAGCCAAGTACAATGGTTCGTACTACGCGGGAGGCTGAAGCAGGAGAAACACTTGGACCTAGGAGTTCAAGGCCAGCCTGAGCCACATAGTAAGATCCTGCCTCAAAAAATAAAAAAGTTAAAAGGTTCACCAGAATTCACTCCACGTGTATCAGGGTCTGTGTAGCATGGCGACCTAAAGAAACTCTATGTTTCTGACCAACAGTACCTCATTTCTTCCAACAACCAAAAAGAAAAACAAAAACAAAAATTAGTAGAAAGAGAAAAACAAGTCAGTCTGTGGCTTCAGCTGTATCTAGGGCCTGGGCTGCTTGCCTACATCACCAAATAAAACACACCCGCTCAAGGAGAAGTTCTCCAAGTTGACATGGTGCAACAGAAAGGAAGTGACTTACCCGGGGGTGGCACTTGAGGGCCTGGACAGCTGTCCCAATCTCCTTAATCCAGCTGTGCATGTCTTCTGGACTATCCGCCTGCAAAACACCCACAGCACTTATGGACATTTCTGGACTGTGATTTCAGCTTTCAAGACTCTGGCTCAACTTTGAGTTCATAAAATCACACCATTAGAGTTGGAAAGGATCTTGGAAATCATCTAGTCCAGTGGCTTGCAGGATTTGAAGGCATTTTCCTCTTGCAATATGTTATTCGACACCCAATAAATAAAATCCCTCAAAGTAGAGTTGTTATAAAGTGAGGCAGGGGCAGGGGCTGGGGTTGGGGGAGCTTAGTGCAGTGTCCCCCTGTTGGAAGTTCCTTGCTCTTCCTGGAAAAGAACTGACCCAAACTGCCCTCCTAGTTTTACAGAAAAGGAAAATGAGGCCCCAAAGGCCAAAGTTTAAGGTTTATAGCTGATCTAGATTTGAGTTCTTCTTACTCTCAATCTCAACATAGTTATTTTTCCACCATAATGATCTCAAGAGAATAATCCCACTTTCAATTTCATTAAAGTCAAATTCCTGTGCAAATCCAAGGTATGTATAATTCTATGCATGATCTCCAGAAATGGGGCTTTTATCAAGGCACACACTACTTGGGTCTGTCCTGAAAAAATCCATCCAGACTTCAAAAGTTGTGGATCTGGGAGACGTAAGTTTAAGAATATGCAGGACCATGCTGAGGAATCCAAGTATTTTCCCCAGAAATAACCTACTAACCCCAGAAGGGGGCAGCAGAGCCTCTGAAAAGAGGAAGAAAAATCAAGCAGTCTAGCCACTCACTACAGGCAGAGCTTCTCAGCACTTCACAGCTTGAGGTGAAGAGCTGAGTTCCAGTGAAATCTGCAGACGTTTACCAAGGGCCCTACGTAAGTGTTATATGCTCCAACAGATGCTAGCCACAGAGGTGAAAACTGGACTAAATCCCTGACCTCCAGAAAATGACATTTGTTAGGCTTCCTCTGGCACCTTCTCTGAGAGTCCCACACAACACAAACATGTATTTGCATGCATGTGCAACAGTTTGTACAAACATCACATTCCAACCCTCAAAGTTCTCCATGTCCTCGCCTTACTTCTTCCTTGCCCAAAATTATTCCTTTTATTTGCTTTCTATCAGTATAGAACATGACCAGGTTTGGTTTGGTTGATTAGCTTTGTAATCCTCAAATTTGCACTTACTCTTTCCTGTCACTTCAAAACAAACCCTCCTTAGTTGGACATGTGCAAAGACAGTGATCAAGGACACTAGGTCAAAAAGTGTGTAGCAACAAGGGCCCCGAGGTGAACACCTCTCACATGTGCTATGCCTGCAAATGTGTTTGCACAACAACCCCCCCGACTCTTTCCAGTTATTTGAAAACCTCGTAGTTTCCCAAGAAAAAGATAAATTCATCCTTAGTCCAAAATGATAACCAGGATAACAAGTCTCCAAACTTTTACTGATTAGAAATACCTTGTTCTATAGGTAGAACTAGTGGAAGCTCAATTAGGTAAAGATGTTTGAGCCTGTTTGATACTCTGTAAGGCTATTAGGAATTTTATTATTAATATTATATGATACGTGAGAAGAAAATAATGCATTAAATTCTACCATTTGTTCACTGCTCTCTCTCCCTGAGACCTTTTTCTCCTCAAACTGCATATAAATCATATTTAAAAAGATCAAATTGTCAGGATCAGATTATATAATATATAGGGAAAGAAAAAAAGGTTATTCAGAATTTGAATGAGATGGAGGTAATTGTTCATGAGGAGAAGAGCATTTACTAGGGCTTTTTCTTCTAGGGAAACAAATGATGATTTGGTACAGAGAATATTGGAAGACAAAGGAAAAGATAAACAGGAGCTGAGGGAAAAACAAACGTCTCCCATACACAAAGGAGATTTGACGTTTTCATTTAACAGACTGGAACATTCCCATGAGGCCAATCCAATAAGCTACTCTTTCCACCATCCTAGTAAAATGTCCCCCACCATGTCCAATGCAGGACTGAGGTATGTAGCTCAGTGGGAGAGTCCATGATTGAAATGTGCAAAGGCCCTGGTTCAATTCCCAGCACAAATATAATTTATATGTATATTATATATATAATTCAAAGAGAAAAGCAAGTATTTCAATTGATCCCATATAGAAAGAATATATATATATATATATATATATATATTTTAATTTTACAATATTGGGGATTGAACCCAGGGGTGCTCTACAACTTAGTTATACCCCTACCCCTTTTTATTTTATTTTGAGACAGGGTCTCACTAAGTTGTCCAAGCTGTCCTCAAACTTATGATCCTCTTGCCTCAGCCACCAGAGTTGGAAGGATTACAGGTATGTGTGTGTACTGTGCCCAGTGGAAACAGACTGCTATTTTAGAAACTATATTAGCAGTCTCTATTAGTAGTTTTAACCATTATTTTTAAATAATGTTATTTAAACATTATTTTAAAATACAATTTAGATAGAAGAGCAGATATTACAATTGATTGCATATTGGAAGAAAGAGAATATTATTTTATTGGGATCACATTAACAATCTCTATAGCTTTAAGAACTAGGGTCCATATTTGGGGCAAAAAAATTCAATGAAACATAAAATATTATATGCAAAAATTATGGCCAGGTGTGGTGGCACACACCCACAATCCCAATGACCTGGGAGGATAAGGCAAGAGGATTGCAAGTTTGATGCCAGCCTTGACAATTTAGTGAAACTCCATACCAAAATTTTTTTAAAGGTTAGGGGGCTGGGGATATCTCAGTGGAAGAGCATCCCTGGGTCCAATCCTAGTAGTGCACACAAACAAGAATTATGGAGTATGAAGATATCTACTTTTTATGGAAAGCCTCTACTTACTTTTCATCAAAATCTCAAAAAAAAAAAATCTTAAAACCACATCACAAGGTAGCTTCACGAACCAGAGGTAAAAATTCGAGCTGAGGTCCACCCACCATGTAAATCACTAAGAGACTAAAGAATGCTTAAAACTGGGTAGAACAAAAAGGGAAATGCCAGACTAACACCTTCTCCTCTTCCTGGAGTGCATTTGTGTGTGCATTTGTTTCTGGTGCTTGGTTCAAAAGTAAGGTTTCTACCTTTGACAACATTTTTGAGATGAGAGGGACAAAGAGTATTAAAACGAGTCACTCAGCCTGTGGTTTTCTTGAAGTCCAACTAACTTTTTACTGAGTATCTACTATAATCCCAGCAGGATAACAGATGCATCATGGTTTGAAGTAATGAATTATGGAGGCCACCAGCAAAAAGTATCTAGCTTCCACCTCTGGTTATTGCCAATGCCCCATCCTAAATCTTTTGGCAGATCCTCCTTCCATTTCCAACTTCTGAAGGCTACCTGTCCCAACAGAGGACTACCTCTGCCCTCTTCTCAAGAACCTACCCAATCTTTAGACACAACCCCGTCACATATGACTGTGTTGACTGCACTCCCAAGTGATGTCACTCAGCTTGCAGTCTGCATAAACAGTGAGGATCCAGAGAGTTTTAGGCCCAATATTTTGCAAATAATTTGTGAATCCCCTTATTGCTGCTCCTGTCCTGACATAGCACGCCGGGTTTATTGAGGGGTGGGAGGTGAATCATATGTGTGTTGAACAGAGGAATAAACCCAGGGGCATTCTACCACTAGCTACATCCCCAGCACTTTTTATTTCTTTATTTTGAGATGGGGTCTGGCTAAATTGCCCAGGCTGGCCTTGACCTTGTAATCCTCCTGACTGGGCCTCCAAAGTCAATGGGATTACAGGTGTGTGCCACTGTGCCCAGCTCATAGCACTCTAGTTCTGACAAGTGGGTTCATGCCAAGTTATCAAGATCGGTTTGTTCATTTCTCATTTTGAATCATGAGTCCTCCTCATAGTAAGCTGCCTAATACCCCAGGCCCTCGGTGACTGGGGAAATGGTAACCCCTGCTGGCCTTCCACCCCAAGAATTGAAATCTCATTTTGAAGCCCCGTCCAGAACTGAGAACTCCCTGCCTGCTGACAAGCTTCTCAAGCACCCACCTTTCCACCTGCTTTGATACCTGATTACTGCCGGATCCTGAATATTTGGTTACCATGACCCAACCCCAAGTTGGTTTTCCCTGATACAAAGTCAAACTTCTCTGGTTCCTGTAGCCACACCCTCTACATCTTGGGTTCTGGACCAACTGCTCTAACACAAATGAGCCAGTCTTGCTCTAGCCTCACAGTTGGTTCCTGGGTTTACTGGGTGTATGAACCCAGACAAATAATTTACTTTCAGAGACTCCGGGTTCTCATGTGAAATGGAGATAAGTTCAGGGATGGTGGAGAATTAAGTGGTACACTGCCTATAAGTTGCTTAGCACTATGTCTGGAACATCAATAAATGATTGCTTCCCCCCCTTTTTAATAGGAAAGACTATAACATGTGAGATCATAGAGTACACATAATACAAATTAAATAGTAAGAATCCATCCCAAGTCTTTCTTCTCTGTCCATAGAGTTATTTTTTTCTGCCAAGATCACTGTGCTCATGCAGATAGCTTTCCCAGATGCAGAAGACAGTTCTTTTTGGCAGATGTACTGAGCCTCACTTAGGAGGCAGGTCAGAAAGCCATTATGGCATGGTAGGTAAAACTTCTGGCACCTCAGTACCAAACTACAGAAGTAGTCACATTCTTTTACCCTTTGCACATGATTTTCACTTGGAACAAATAACTGACACATGAACTCAGTCTAATTTATTCACACTTAGAAATTTGGCAGTATTTTTTCTTCAAAAATGAATAAAATGAGCCTATAACACTGAGAACAAATTATGGCAGTATTTTTTTTTTTTTTTGCCAATGGTAAATGTTGAGCATTCCAAGCAAAAATTAGAATCTCAGAAGACTTGTCCCTAACTCCATGAGCACAACAAATTTCCATACATAAAAACTTTGCTAGTAATATTAAAGATTGTGATTTTTAAATATTACATAATAAAATGAGTCAACATTTTGAAGATCTGCGTACCTCAGTGAGACCAGTATTTTCCAAATGAGTAATGCAGGCTGGCATGGATAAAAAGTATCTATTCGAAGTGTAAAACTGACTAACAGACTCTAATGTAAGAATATAAAAGTTTATAGATATCACTTCAGATTCCACATTGTATCTAAACATCAAGAAATTACCATTTGTCAAGCTTTGGTATAGAATCAAAGAAAAATATTCAAGATTATCTAAAAAGGATTTTTAAAAAACTCTTTTCCAGTACATATTTGTGTAAAGCCAGACTTTCATATTTCTTAATCAAAACAACATATGGCCACAGATAGAATGCAGAAGCAGATAATGAGAATCCTATTGTCATCTACTAAGCCCAGCCATTGAAGAGATTTACGAAAATATAAAAACACTACTTCTTTTCTTGATAATTTTTAGAAAGCTATTTTTCATGATAACTTATATAATAAGTGAATATAACAGCTTATAGTGAGTTTATAGTTTCCACTTCTAAATGAACTAACAAATACTTTTAGTGATTATTTTCATCTATATCTTCTCTTATTTTCCATTCTGAGTTCGGTGCTATAAACTAATTTGATCACTTACTCATAATTTGTTCAGGGTGGTGCCCGTATCCTTTTATCCTAGAAATGTGGGGAGTTGAAAGGAAAGGAGGACAGAAGTGATGAGCCTCTTTCAGGAATCGTGTATACACTCATGTAGATAATACAATGTCTTCTGAACATTTCTTGGTTGGGTTTTGTGTTTCATAAATCAATATCTTCAGCCCAGGTTTCTTATAATCACTATCTTACAACCAGCACCATCATTCACTTGACAGATATTCAGTATCATCAATGTGTTAAGCATCAACTAGTCAATGGTCCTCACAACATGTCTCCTTGGAAGTCTCACAAGTACTGTAAATTCACAATCACCTATGCCCATCCCCTTAGTAGTTTCCCACTTCTGTGTTCTCATGAAAGTGACAGACACCATCAGCCACACTGATACTCAAGCTAAACATCTGAGCATTATCCGGACCTCTCCCCTTTCTCTCCCTTCATCCAACCAAATCCTAGTCCTCCCTTGTCTTGTGTCCTCTGCACTGCACTGGGCCACACAATCTACAAACAGCATTTTACAGTTAAGGAAAATGAGGCTCTGAAAGTTAAATAATTTGCCCAAGTCCACATGCCATATTTAAAGGCAAACCTGACGGGGCAGTCCCTTCATTTAACTTCCCAGGCACTAACTCAGGATAAAGCACAAGCTGTCTACCAAGGCACCTAGCTGCCCAGCCCCCTCAGGTTCTTCACTCCTTCACCTCCAGGCTCTTGATCCTAAGTGCTACTCTTTTGCCTGCACTATTCTTCCCCTGACCCAGCAAAGATGTATCTTCCTTCAGGAAATCTTCCCTAAGACTTGCAGAAAAGACCTTCTTACAAGTCCTAATGGCAGCAATCATGCCAATCACACTATTTTCTGATTTGTATTCCCTCACTCCTTTTTGGGAGCTCGTTTCATATTTGGAATACATTTAAAATATTTTGGCACATTTGGCATTTCATGCAGTGACCACCTGACCTCCTAATTTTTTTTTTTCAACTTGAATATATTAAGGTTGACTCTTTGTGCCGTAAAGTTCTAGGCCACGCATTCAACATTATGGCATATAACAGTTGTACTACCCTGCAAACACACCTCAGCTTCACCTATGCAAACTCCCTCCCCTACCCCATCATTGGGTTTTAACTGCCTGTTAACTGGGCTAGAACTCTCTCTTAGGTTCAGGATTGGTTCTGTTTTAATGTGGTGACCCCAAACCAACATAAAATGCCTAGCTATAAACTCCATTGAGTGCAAGGACTAGACGTTCCCTGAGCATTACTCTACAAACTCCATTGAGTGCAAGGACTAGACGCTCCCTTGCTGCATCTACAGGCTCAACCTTGTCCCTACATGGCCATGGTGCCAGTGAATAAGTAGCTTTAATACCACAGTGACCCTTTCCCTAGTCAAGTTTGCTCCAAAGCCTCCCCTCCTCTCTTCCTGGAAGGTATGTGCTTGYCTGAATGGGCACTGTCTGCTGATGATTCAGTCCACTATTATGTCTGCTGGGTGCAGGCAGAGGAACACTGGAATCACAGGAGCCACTGCCCAAGAAACAGGAAAAGGGTCTGATCCCCTACAGAAAGGAGGGTGTTTAGTGGGGAGTAGAAAAGAAAGAGAGCTGCCTAACACAAAAGCYGGAGTTGGGCAGCCTGCATTTAAGCCAGCACACTGTGCATCAGTTTTAATGTTAGAAATCCCTCATCAGCACAATGCAGGAGATCAACATACTCTCTGCAGATCGCCAGGCAGGCTGGGCTAGGGACTTGGCCCTGAATGTCTAGGCCCTGCTTGGAAATCTGCCTTGCTAGCTCCTATGACTTTAGAAGGGGTTGGGACAACTCCAAAGTCGTGGGTGGAGGGGTGAAGCTTCTGATAAGTGAACTGTCAGAATCCAAACAATGGCTTTCTCTGTGCARCTGGGCTCTGCACCTGGTGCCTGCACAGGGCCCTCTGTGCTTCTGTCATTCGCACACAGTGATGTCCATACACAGACAGGACTTATAAATACCCTCCAAAGCAGAAGTGAAATCCCTGACCAGTTCTCCTTTTCTCTGCTCAGTTGGAGCCCAGCAGCTGAGAGCAGTTGGTAGAAACTCTCGTTCTCCAGTACAGTGGCTCAACCTGCTTTATTATTTTATGGTTGGGAAGCTTCAGGCAAACATCCTGTTTAGAATAAAATGGGACTCAAGACTATTAGGGGCTAAATTTACCACATGGAAACCTCAAGCAAAAGAAAAGAGAAAGCAAATGAAAGGGCGAGGTCTATAAATACACTGTAAACAGAAAAGGAATGCTAGTCTTCTCTGGGTGAGCACTTTACCTGTATGTAGAAGGTCCGGGAGCTTGTTATTATTTCAAACAGGTTGTCCCTCATTAAGAGATCACTAGACAGAGAAAGAAAAAGGAAGTTACTGGGCATACTGGCATATATTCTGAGCTTCACTGATACTAAGTCTAGGCACCAGTATCCACTACCATTGAAAATAAAAGATGGGAGCTGGGGATGTGGCTCAAGCGGTAGCRYGCTYGTCTGGCATGCGTACGGCCCAGGTTCGATCCTCAGCACCACATACCAAAAAAAAACAAAAGATGTTGTGTCCGCCAAAAACTAAAAAATAAATATTAAAAAATCCTCTCTCTCTCTCTCTCTCTAAAAAAATAATAAATAAAAAATAAAAGATGGGCAGGGGTGTCCAGGCCATTCCTCCTTTAGCCACTGCCTCAAAAACACTCTGGGGATTCCCTCCAGCCTCATCTCTTTGAAGGTCTCAGGAATTCTTTGCTATTCTGATGGACACCCCCCCCCACCACCACCACCAGTTCCAACAAGATTAAAAAGCTTCTTTCCTTCCAAAAGTTCCTGCTTAATATCCATCACACCCCCCACCTCCTACAGTTTTATTTTCTTCAATCCATCCCTTCTCCCTCCCTCCTTCTTATGCAGTGTGCCAAGGATCAAATCYAGTGTCTCACACATGCTAGGCAAGTGCTCTGCCTCTGAGTTAACAGCTACCACCCTATGTTATGCAATCTTCACAACCATCCCGTAAACCATCTAAAGATTTTCCATACTTTATAGATGAAGAAAGCCAGGCTTGGAGAGTTTCAATGATATATATGTGATGGTGCCAGAGAACTGGACCCAAGTCTGATTCCAGAGTCTAGGCTTTTAAATATTCCAATGCCATTTGCTTCTATTAAGGATCAAATTCTCCACTTCTATAGCCTTCCTCCCCCTGAGAAGCAACCTTATCCTCAATTCCTGCTTTCTGTCCTGGGCCCAGAAATGAAGATGAGAGTAAACCACTTTAATATCTGCTTCAAAGTACATATGGGTTTTCTGACTTCTGCAAAAAAGAGAATAAGAAATAACAGATGCTCAGGGACAAACCWCAAATTGGCCAAAATCATTTACAATATTAAATGCCTGCTGGGTCTATCCAGTGGCTGCAGGAAATATAATTCCTACCCAATAAAAGAACCTAAGAGAGCAAGACTACACAATCAGACGTTAGTAAATTTTGTGTTACACACAAAGAATCAGACTCATTCCTAGAAAGGACTGGTTCATGAGCAGGTGTCGACTTTTGAATGCAGACTTGGAAGGAATTGGCAGGAGGTTGGCCAGTGACAATAGGTACTGCATAAAAAAGGATTGACACCACTGGTCAGAAAGAACTGGGGTCAAATTCCACTGCTTGTGGTGATGCACATCTATAATCCCAGCAACTCAGGAGGCTAAGACAGGAGTTCACAAGCTCAAGGCCAGCCTCAGCAAGTGAGCAAGATCCTGTCTCAAAATAAAATATAAAAAGGGCTGGGAATCTTGCTCACTGGTGAAGCACCCAATACTGGCAGATGATGTCTTTTCTTACAATGGTCTGCAGATGCCACTGTGGGCAGTGCCGAAAATGTCACACGTTCAGCTGATGCCGGTGGGCGGGGGTGGGGGGGGTGGGGGGGTGGGGGGGGGATCTGACTCTACTCAAGGAAAAGGTATTTGTAACCAAGTGTTTAATAGAAATGAGAAGACATCCCTTACTGAGCTGGTCACTGAAAAAATACAGAAGGCATCTAGTATAAAGCATAGCACTTGACATAGTGTTTCTGAATAGAGATGGCTCTTTGGTGGCTAAAATGATTTAACCTTTTACACTATTAATGCATATGCAATACAATCACAAAATCGAATACAGAGAGGAAAGGAAAGCACCCCCTTCATATCTCCTTCCCAGCTGCATATTCCCTTTCAATTCTACGTACATTGACCATCCAGATGTCCTGAATTCTCCTAACTGGATTCTAGAGAAGCCACACCATCTACCAGACCTGGAAGCTGCAGGTCCCTTCCCAGCTGGCTTCAACTCCCTGACTTCTTTCACTCAAGAGCTTAGTGCAATTCTGGCAGAATAAGAGTTAGGGAAAACTTAAGGATCTTAAGATGGAACCCTACTTTGGTTCTCTAAGCTACCTCAACATGTAGGTGATCTCTCACCTGCACAAGCCTTTCAGGCCAGCAACCATGAAGGATCTCCCAGGATCTAATCATGCCCTATTCTTCTTCTGCCCACTGCCTCCCTCTGGAGCCACACATCTGGAACTTCCGTCTTCAGCTACTTTCATAAATTATAAATTATCACTGGGAACCTCCCCAATCCTCTAAACTCTGCRACTGCCACTTGCAAGACCCAGTCCAATGTTTCTTCCCCAGCCTCCTTGGGTCCCACAGCATGATATTTTCATGTAATATTGTCTCATGCCTTCATGGGAGAATAGGCTGCCTGCTGCTAATAGTCTCTGTGAGGATGTATGTGAGCTCTGCATGCACAGTCTACAGAACACAGGACAACAAACACAAGGGTTCTAAGACTGCACACTGATGRCCAAAAAAGAGGATTTCTACACGCCAGATGCCCTTGGGGGTCTGTATAGTATAGTTCTGGGGATATCTGTATTGGGGGTTAAATGTGGGCTATTCCCTTGTCAAGTCCCAAATTCATGCTACGTATCACAGCACTTCAAAGGCAACCATTTCCTAAGAGGAACATATTAAAATCACTTGTTTAGGGGCTGGGGTTATGGCTCAGCAGTAGAGCACTCACCTTGCACATGCAAGGCCCTGGGTTTGATCCTCAGCACCACATAAAAATAAATAAAGTTATTGTGTACAAAAAAAAAATACTACTAAAAAAAAAAAACACACTTGTTTAGGAAAAAACAACAACAACACTTGTTCAGGACTGGGGGTATAGCTCAGTGGCAGAGAGCTTGCCTGCCTGGCATGCACAAACTGCCCCAGGTTTCATCTCCAGCATCAAAAAAAGAAGAAAAAGAAAAAAAAATCACAACAAAAACTGGCTCATCCTGCCCAATGATAGTAACCTGTAAATGTTATGAATCACCCTTGTGTTAATGGGACATCAAGGTCTAAAGGAGAAGAGGCCAAAGAAATTCAGGCTTGAAGCACTGGCATCAGCAGTGATCTGACCAGCACTGCAGTTAGTGATCTAAAGGCAAAGTTCTCCTCTTAGCATCTAACACCTGAGAAGCATCTGAGCTCCACTCCCTTTCCCTTTCTCATTACCATATTTTTTCTTTTCCACCAAGAGAAATTATTTTAGAGTCTCCTCCCCTAAGGAACTATTACCTAATGGGAAAAGGTAAGTTTGCTCAGTGTGATCTCATCCCTGTAACAGCTTGGATACAGTGAGTCAGCCACAAGATATAAGGGTCCTTACCTTACCTTGCTCTTGGAAGGAATTTTTTGTTGCTCTTGGTTTTTGTTTATTTTCTTGTGGGTTTTTTGTGTTTTTTGGTGCAGGGGATTGAACCCAAGGCCTTGTACATGCTAAGCCCACCCTCTCCCACTGAGCTACACCCCTGTCCCCAGAAGACGACTCTGAAAGAGAGCCTCAGAAGGGTACAAAATGAAGATTTAAGAAAGCAAATGGRGGTTTTGATCAGAAAAGAGTAAGCAGAAGTTGGGCACAGTGGCGCAASTCTGTAATCGCAGCAGCTCAGGAAGCTGAGGGAGGAGGATGGCATGTTCAAAGACAGCCTCAGCATCTTAGCAAGGCCCTATGCAACTCAGTGAGATCCTGTCTTTAAATAAATGTACAAAAGAGCCGAGGATGTGGCTTAGTGGTTAAGTGACCCTGGGTTCAATCCTGGTACCAAAAAAAAAAAAAAAGAAAAAGAAAAGAAAAAAATAAGCCGAGATAATTACCCAGATTTGACCAGACACTCATGGGTCTTGAGAACATCTTTGAGATATATAGTGCGCAGTGGTTCTCGGTCCTGGTTGAAAAAGGGAAAGATAATGAGTGAGGTTGTTCCCACAACCCAATGGCCCAGATCAGCTAACAAATGCCCCTCTCTCCGAGATGGTTGGCTAACCCCAGTATGACAAACAACCTGGTCTCAGAACAATCACTAAGAGGAAAAAAAAAATCTAAGCTATTTTGTGGCTCCACTCAGCAGCTTACTGCACTGAAGACAGAAGGACATCAAGGTCACTTTAATATCATGGTAAATATGGGCAATAAGATGGATGGTCATAAGACAGAGGTACCTTTGGAGTCTGTATGTGCCCATGTCTCCACTCCTTCACACTTTCCTATGGGTGTGTATTCATGTACCTCTTCATTTCTATGACCTCTMAGAAAGGCCCCCCAAAGCTACTACCAACCTGCTCACACTTGAAGTAGCAGATGGTGAAGTCATCCAGGGCAAAGAAGCGACGTTTCCAGCTCTTCCGCTGAAATGAAAAAGAGCTGGATATTGGGAAGCTGTACCCAGCATTGCAGAGGGTGTTCTAATGCAAAACTCCCAGGGTCACAGCTCCGTGGAAGCCAGGCTACCACACTGAACAGGAGCAAAGGCTTCCTTTCAGAAGCAATATGTGATACATCGGGCCAACAGTTGGTCCCCAAAGCACACAGGCTTGGACAGCGGCTAGCACAGAGGACTGTAGCTCCTCCTCTCGTTCTCCCCTCCCCTCTGTGACATCCACACCCACTAGCTCCAAGGAGTCACCAGAACCCTGATGGGCACCTGTGCTGGCACTCACCACATTCCCTTGCTTCACACAGTAGCCACTCTTAATGAGGGGAGGCCCGGTAGAAGCACGGCAGCCTGACGTGGGGATGTAACTCTGAGACCTTCGAAGGATGGCATGGGACCCTGGCTCACTCCCTTCCTGTCCATCCCCGCCATTCTACAAGGAAACAGTGTCAGGGTTAGCACCTCCCTGGCTCTTCTATGCAGTCACAGCCCCCTCTCCCTCCCTCAGTTTGGATSTCTTATCTCTTTTATATTAGTCAAAGAATAAATAAACATTGACTTTGCACTGGATAAGACATTCTATTGGGTACTGTCATATAGTAAGACTCAGGGATGTTGGACAGACCCAGATGAAAGGGAAGAATAGAAAATGCAAACCAGAAAAAGGCATATATAYCAGAATGGGAGGAGGGACAGCAGCCTTATTTGCTATCCTACAAGTCATCTCCTGAGTCTTGTACAGTCACAAYTTTGAGATGCACTGGCCTTGATTTCTGCACCACCATTACTCACAGCCACCCTGCACTGTATTCTTCTGATCACCTTTCTGCGCTAGCTCCCCTACTCCCATCTATCTTTTTCTTGGCACACTCCTCGATGCACATGATTGGCACATCATGGATACTTCCATATCCTTGCCACCCTCAGCAGCCCGAGCCAAGCCCCAGCACCTGGCTGATGGGTGTGTGGACCACCACCCCTCCGATGATCTCGGTCTTGTAGGCCACCTGTGGCTTCTTGTCTAGGGCTGCAGGAGTTGTTAGGCTTTTGAGAACTTCAGTAGCCAGGGGAAGGCTCCCACCTTTGGGTACCTGGGAAGAATGACAGTGAGGTCAGTGGGGAACAGAAGGCTTAGGAAAAGTGGGGAGCCAAGAGCAAGATAGGGTGGGAAGAAAAGCCAATGTACCAAATTATAGTAAGACTCCTATCTCCTCCGCAGTCCTTCCATCGATCCATATCTCAACATGAGTTCAGCCAGCAACCCCTCCACACCTATTACACTCTTTCTTGACAAATTTATGGAGCACCTATACTACAAGCCAGCCCTTCCACAGCTGCAAACAAGAGATTAAACATCAAACAAAACAGACATGAGTCCCTGCCCTTCTGGAACCAAAAACTAATAAGTGAGACTGACCAAAAACTGGATAGAAAAACATTCAGAGTATCTACAAATTATGGTGCCTGCCATAAAGAAAGAAAGTGAGAGCTGAGGCAGAATGCTACAGGGAAACTACAGGAAATGGAGCAGTTGGGAGAGGTCTCCTCAGAACAGCTGTTGAATCTGCAACCTGGAGGGCAAAAAAGGAAAAAGGAATGCAAAGATGGGAGGGAGCCAGCTCATCAGGTGGAACAGCTAAGAATGCACATGGGAAGGCTGTGGTGTAGCAGCGACAGAGCACTTGCTGAGCATCTGCTCAGCCCAGAGTTCCACCCCCAGTGCCACATGTGTATGCACAAATGCACACCCACAAATGCACATGCCCAGGTTGAGCATCCCTACTCTGAATATCCCACACCTGACTTCATGTGATGACTTGCAGCCAAAAATACAGGTACATTCACAACTCAAAGTGGATCAGGAACTGAGGCATTAGATCAGAGACTCTGCACCCACTAGAAGAAAAAGCAGGCCCAATTCTCCATCATGTCAGCTTAGGAATCGACTTYCTCAACAAGACTCCTAAAGCCCTGAAAGTAAAATCAAGAATCAATAAATGGGATGGCATTAAACTTCTGCAGAACAAAGGAAATCATCAAGAATGTGAAGAGAGCACCTACAGAATGGGAGAAAATCTTTCCACATGTACCTCAGATAGAGCACTAATCTCCAGGATATATAAAGAACTCAAAAAACTTAACACCAAAAAAACCTCACAAATAACCAATTCAATAAATGGGCCAAGGAACTGAACAGGCACATCACAGAAGAAATACAAAGGGTCAACAAATATATGTAAAAATGTTTAACACCGCTAGTTAGAGAAATGAAAATTAAAACTACCTAAGATTTCATCTCACTCCAGTCAGAATGACAATTATCAAAAATACAAGTAAAAATAAACGTTGGCAAAGATGTGAGGAAAAAGGTACACTCACTCATACATTGCAAATTGGTGCAACTTCTCTGGAAAGCAGTTTAGAGATTTCTTAGAAAACTTGGAACGGAACCACCACTTGACCCAGTTATCCCACTTCTTGATATATACCCAAAGGACTTAAGATCAGCATATTATAGTGATGCAGCCACATCAATGTTTATAGCAGCTCAATTCATAATAGCTAAGCTCTGGAACCAACCGAGGTGCCCTTGAACAGATGAATGGATAAAGAAAATGTGGTATATACACACAATGTAATATTATTCAGCCAAAAGAAGAACAAAATTATGGCATTTGCTGGTAAATGGATAAAAATGGAGAATGAAATAAACCAATCCCAAAAAACCAAAGGCCCAATATTTTCTCTGATATGCAGATCCTGAATCACAACAGGAGGAGGTTCACTGGATTGGACAGGATGGATAGGGGGATGGGATGGAAATAGGAAAACAGTAGAATGAATCCATAACTTTCATATGTTCATATATGAATACACAATCAGTATAACTTCATATCATGTACGACCACAAAAATGGGAAGTTATATTCCATGTATATATGATATGTCAAAACACATTTTACTGTCATGTATAACTAAAAAGAACAAAAAAATTTTAAAAATACAGGTACATTAAAAACATAGTAAAAAATACCTTTAGGTAATGTGTATAATATATATATAAAACATTAATAAATTTTGTGTTTAAACTTGGGTTCCATCCCCAAGATTTTTCCATGTAATATTTCAAAATCTGAAAAATACCTAAGATCCAAAAAACTTCGGGTCCCAAGAGATTCAGATAAGGGGTAGCCAATCTATATAAGGTATAAAATCAGGGATGCATGAGCTTTGAAGCCAGAAGGCCTGGAGTATAACTTCTGACCTGTCACCAACAATGTGAGTGACCTTCAGCAAATCATTGAACCTCTGTAGGCCTAAACCATCTGTTAGTTAACTTTCCATAAGGAAAAAGRTTTGTTTTGATTTAKAAGTTTCAGTCWGTGGTTGCTTGGACCCATGGCTTTGGGCCTGTGGAGACACAGTACATCATGGTGGATGCCTATGGTGGAGGAGACCTATTTACCTCATGGAAGCCAGGAAGTAAAGAGAGACAAGAAGGGGTCAGGATCTCAATATCACCTTCAATGGCACACCCCCCAATAATCTAACTTCCTTCTACTAGGTCCCACCTTTTAAAGGTTCCACTACCTCCCCAAAGCACAATGGGCTAAGGCACGTGGGCCTCTGGAGGACATTCAAGATCTAAACTATAAAATCATCTCAATCAAATGGAAAGGGGAACAACATGATGTTAGAATAGTTGTTAAAGTTCTCAAGTGGTACACACATTTAAATGCTCTAGAAACACAAATAAGAATATAAATGTATTATGAAAATTTTTAATTAATATTTCACAAATGGTGAAAAAAGTCCTTTTTGAAGAATGAGCTCTTTCTCCTCATCAGTTATAATAGTGTAATGGAGCAAACCGTAGAATTTTTGTAATTAGCTAGAAACCATTGGCCGAAGTTGCAAACTGGTGGGCCACAAGCAGACTCTGCCCACACAGTTTTGTTTGACTATACAGTGTATTTTTCAATGTATGTTTAACATTTTCACATTGAAAAAAAAATCCAGATTTTTCAGCTTGGCAGCAATCCTTTTACGAGATGGGGAGTGCAGTCTTTACTCTGTCACGGTCCTGACCATTTTCTTCAATATCCTCATTTCTACTGCCCTATTTTTTCATCCTTGTCCAATTCACTCACTTATCCTAGAGTCTGAAAACTCTTACGAAATCTTTCACTTTATAAGAGAGAAAGAGAGGCCCAACAGTCGAGTCATTTGCCTGAAGCCATGATTGAGAAGTGACTCCCAACCAATTCACAGGAACAACACCCTGTGTCTGTCTCCCAGCCAAGGAGCTATCGATCTCAGGAGAGAAGCCCAAGTCCTCTGCCACCTCCTCTACAGTCTGTCAGTCAGAGAGACCTAAGCAGCCAGATACTTTCAAGAGCTCCAAGCTCAGAGCTACGGAAAAACTCTGCCYAAGACAGAGACCAAAGACCACACCATTTGGTGTCCACTGAGTGTGAAGTATAAGACCACTGTGATTTATAGTAGGTCTCAAGAAAGAAGATGAGACCTCTCCTCCTGGCCAATCCACTCTGTGGACACACATAGGATGATTTCTACAGATCATACCAGAAATTCCACCTTCTTCTTTCCTTCTGAGAAGCAGAGCAGTTACCACAGCTTTGGGACACCCCACCACCGCCCYGCCGTGGCCCCATTCAGTGCCAGGCAGGCTACTAAGCTATTCACTGCATTATCTCTGATTCTTAGGCAGTCTTATCAAGTTGGTGTGATTTTCTCCATTTTATTCATGAGGTAAAATGAAGCTCATTAAAGCTGAGTAACTTGCCCTGTGGATGCTTGCTCCCCTTTGCTAAATATCACTACCAACTYGAGGGGTACTTTTTAATTTTCTGTTACTCTTGTCACTGTGGGATCAAATTTTTTTAGGGATATTAATTTTTGCTGGGGTATTTAGTGATATCATCACCATGGAACAGCAGTAATTTCCCCAAATCATTCAAATGAATTCCTGGAACCTGGAAAAGAAGGAACTATTTAGTTGCTGAAGACAGAAAAAGACAAAGACRCTCAGCTGCTGCGTTTCTTAGAATCTTGTCAGCACACATGGGCCATGGGGTTGTCACTACTATGTCCCTGTATCTTGGGCTGCTTCTGACTAACCATGTAGAGGCTTTAAGGAAGTTTTACATCCTGAGACTTGAAAGTCAGCCTGTGGAAAAGAATCTCAACCACAACCGAGCAGTATAGCTTGAAAACAAGGCTGTTTTCTTTTGGGCATTCATATTCCAGAGGCCTAATTAACAGTGTGCCTCTTCCACCCATCTGCGGAGTATCCTCGGATGAGAGATCCATGTGTGTCTTACCTACCTACAACGTGAAATAAAATTCACAAGGACTCCTTTTTCTTCCTGTCTGGTGTGGCTATAATACTATGAGGAATAACCGACTTTCAGGGAAAAAGTTGTGCTTCATTTAATTTGCAAATTTTTGGGGAAATGTAGTGAGCTGAACAAAACTGTGCACCCATAACCTCAGAATGTGATCTTATTTGAAAACGGTGTTTTTGAAGATGTAATTTGTTAAATTAAGATGAGGTCATATACTGTTTTAGGTTGGGCCCTAAGTCCAACTGGGGACACCTATATAGGTGTTATAAGAAGAGAGGACACCTGTGTCCTCACACAGGGAAGAAGGCAGAGGTAGACATGGAGTGATGCAGCTAAAAGCCAAGGAGTGTGGAGGATCTCTGGAAGCCACCAGAAGCAGCAAGGCCAAGAAAGAGTCTCCCCTAGAGCAGTCAGAGGGGACTGCAGCCCTGCCAACACCTTGATTTCAGACATTAGCCTCCAGAACTGTCAGAGAATACATTTCCCTGGCTTTAAGCCACCTAGTTTGTTACAGCAGCCCTAGAAAATGAATACAGGAAGGCTAATATTCTGAGAGAATCCAACTCTTTAAATACCATATGCTGAACATGTCTTCGATCATAGGGACCACAGCATAAAATGAACAGTGATCTGTGGGTAGAAAAACTGGATCCATCCCGGCTCTGTGACYTTGGGCAAGTACTTTAATCTCTAGGTATTTCCATTTCCTCACTTATAAATAGGGATCATAACACTTGCCCTTCTTACTTGAGGTTTTKATGAGGCTAAAAATGAAGCCATATGCAAAAGTGGTGTGTAATCTGACGTATTTTACTACTGGTGCTTATTTGTAATGATTTTATAAACTATAAACTCCCAGGTCTTGGAAGTTAGGGGACCTGGGTTAGAATTCCGACTCTACCAGTTGCTGACCTCCTGACCTCAGGCAAGACTCCAACCTCCATGTTCCTCATTTTTAAAACGGCAGTAAAACCATTCATCTCACAAGACTGCCGTGAAGGATGAATGAGTGGGAGCCCCGCTCACTACATTATCTGTTTAGTCCTTCCTATCTGTGTCCCCCAAAGTGTCTGGTGCCTCACTTTGCACATATGGTGTCTTAAAATAAATATGCATTTCATCACATGGTATCAGAGCTCCACATCTGCCTAACTCATTCCAACTCCATATGGAAGGACAGATGCTACAAAAAAGAGGAAAAAGGAGTAAATCCTCTCAGGATAAAAAAGATTTAGGAGGTCCTTCCATTCCACAAAACCTTTGGCAGGAGAGGCGAAGAGACGAGACACATGACTGCTCCTTGGTATCCAAGGGGGATTTGTGCCAGGATCCCCCTAGGATACCAAAATCTGCAGATGCTCATGTCCCTTATATAAAACGGTGCAGTATAGGCATAGAACCTATGCACATCTTCCCATATACATTAAACCAACCCTAGATGACTTATTAATAATACCTTCATATAATAGAAATGGTATGGAAATAGTTGTTTTACTATAATGATCAGGGAATAATGATAGGGAAAAAAAGTCCGCACGTGTTCAATACAGATGCAGCTTTTAAAAATATTTCTGATCTACGGCTGGTTAAAGAATCTACAGATACAGAAGGTCCACTATATAACTAAGCAAAGGAAAACAAGGAGATCCTGGGGACTGTGGAGGCTGACGGACGCTCTGACATTCCAGCACGCCTTTGATCTTCTGTCCTCTGGGCTCCACCAGGCTCCCTCCCACTCCTGCATCCTGTCACTTCTGCTCTGTGAGGCCAGAGAAGAGGCAGGAGACACTGGATGATTTCAGCAACTCTATGTTCAAGGCACAAAAGAAAGACAAATAGCTGAAGGAGGAAAAGGTATGGCTCAGTGGTAGAAACATGTATTTTTCACACATGAGGCCCAGGGTTTAACCTAGCCATTTTTTTTTAAAAAAAGAAGGTTAGAGTAGAGCATGAGCTTAGCATGTGTGAAGCCCTGATTTCAAACCCCGGCATGGGGGTGGGAGCGCACGCACACTGGTGGGAAGAGGAAYAGCGGGGAGGAAAGAAAAGCAAATCAAAGAGGCTCTTTGCTGTGGACTGTCCAGATCTGTTTACTAGCAAGAGTGGAGGTGGGAATCTAGGAAGAAACTCAGAACAACAGTCAAGTATTAGCATTGAGAGAAACCTCAAATTCTGGAAGATTTTGAGGAAGACCTCCCCRCAACATGAATGAAGAAAACACTTACTATACTCAGCACTCCAGACCCACATGCATAAGCACACGGCTAGCCCACCTGAGCRTGTGAGTTAGCGACTGCCTCCGTGACCCCTCCTTGCCTTACTCTCTCTTCTCATGGATTTTCCAAGGTTTACCAGAATAAGAACTAACCAGCTAAACAACTTAAGAGACTCAATTTTACTCTGGTTGGGTCTATCAACAAAAATGCTACATAGTTGTACAGATTTCATCTATTAATTTATTCACAGGAACCGTGAGTATCTGGGATAATGTTTGCCCTRGCACATAGTTATTATTATTGGAAGTCACTCACATAAATGTTTCCGACTATATAATAGAGAAATTCAAACTTTTYAGCAAACAAGCCTTGTTTGGGAAGTCAAGAATCTGCCTGCCTTGTCTGCCTTAAAGGTTTCTTTTTTCCCCCAAACATAGGTTTTTGCCATGGCTGGATAAGTGTCCCCAAAGATCTATGTATTGAAGGTCTGGCTGCTAGGCAACCATGCTGCTGGGAACTGGAGGTGGGGTCTGGTGGGAGGAAGTTAAGTCACTGGGGGCATATTTCTGAAATGTATAATAACACTCCAGCCCCTTCCTGTCTCTCTCTTTGCTTCTCAGCTGCCATGACGTAAACAGGCCTCCTTCACCACATACTCCCACCATGATGCCCTGTGCCAACAGGGGCTCAAAGCAACAAGGCCAAGCCTACTATCAACTAAAATCTCTGAAACCATGATCCAAAATTAACCTTTCCTCCTTATAAGCTATTTTGACATACTAATGGAAAGCTGACTGTAATATTCCTTCTCYCAAATTTTCACTCATTCTATTCTCTTTTTGTGTTTGTAAGGAAAAGAAATAATTCATTAGCCACGTCAAGGAAAACAAGAGTGTTCATAATAGTCCATGAACTTGTTTTGTGAGACTTTTAAATGGAAGACTTTTCCAGGACAGACTGGTAAATAGCCCGCCTGATCCTCCAGGTGGCCTCGTAAATAAKAAGAGTATCCCCCAAGTCAGGACAGAAGTTCTGACTTCCCTTCTCGATACACTTTCCCCCTTACTCTTCTTGTCGGAGTCAGCAATCCATTTTCCAATCTTACCACATTCTGAATCAGCATTCCAGAATTACCCAGAACATGACTGACCAGGAGCCCTCCCAGAAAGCACAAAGGGGACCCTCCATAAACTTCCCCTTGAACTTGATTCAAACTCAAACTCTTGGGTCAAATTGTGGTTTGTGAGCTAAGGGGCAGGAGAATGTTGAGGCAGGAGAAAATTGAGCTCCTGGGAAAGTCCCTGCTGCCGTCTGAGTTTTCCCCCACCCCAACAGGCTACAACTGAGAAGGGGCACTTTTACTACAAAAAGGAGAAGCAATCATACGTACAGTGATCTTGCTGGCTTGGTTCAGGGCTTCGACCCAGTCCTTCAGGTCTTTCTGGTCATTGGCTTGAAGAAAATACCTCTGAGACAGGGCATTGATGACTGTAAAAGTCACAGGTAAGGAGAGAGAAATTTCCAGGTCAGACTACATGGCACACAAGAAGTCTCCACAAACCTAAGGTGTTGGAGGTGACAAGATGGATGAAGTCCACACAGCAGATCAAGAAATTCCCTGTGATGTTAAGTCACTTGTTTGGATATTCAGGAAGCAGCAGGTGACAACTGCTGTCTCTCCCATCTGTAAAAGTAAGGACTATTGCATTGGCCAAAGAATGGCATGTGACAACATGAGCAGCAGCCTTGATGTGCTGTTCTGTGGTGATGAGGCTGCTGGTCTGCCAASAAGAAGATATACCCATGAACAACTTTACACCAGTGCTAAGAGACTGACAGTCACATGATACACACGGAATTATGGACCCAGTGCTTTGCTTCCATAGGCCTGGATTGAGAGTCCTGCCTGTGGCTGGGAAGTGGAACACAACTTGCCAGAGAACTAATCTGTGCCCTAGGCCTCATTTTCAATTGTCTTTCCATTAGGTCAACCATTTACTTCTGGGCTCATTATCATATATATATATATATATATATATATATATATATATATATATACACACACACACACACACACACACACACATATATGTGTATATATATATTATATATTTTAGTTCTGCTCACCACAAAACCTGAGTCATTTTTGAGTTTCGTAATAATATTTGAAAGATATGGGAGAGTAAGTGCACCAAAGGAACTTGAACCAACTGGAAGCTGGGAGAGAAGATGACTSGAGGGACAATTTCACTCTCCCAACATCAGCCAGTATTATAGGAAAAAATCTTCATGAAGTAGACAGAATTCATTCATTCATTAAAAAAAAAAAAAAAATTTGCTGAGCACCCACGATGCACCAGGAATCGTTCTGAGTGCTGAGGCCACTGCAGTGACACAGTAAGAAACACCTCTGCCCCCTGAAGGTTACATTCAGATCTATCCTAGATACACAAATGATCTGTCAGCATTTGTTCATAGCATTGAGTACAGTTGTGAAAACTCAGCGGAGACTAAATAACAATTCAATGACAGATTCACCAAATTCACAATTTAAAGAGTCATCCACTGAAAGGCTCTGCTTCATATGTCATCCCTGATACTGAGCCTCATTTGGCAACACTGAGACCATCAACAGAATTCTCCCTCCTCTCATCCCCATTCTGGAGAGTCTCCACCTTCCTTGAGCACACAATTACTCTACTCAAAGATTTCCATAAACAAAGATTTCCATAAACTTGTGCTAGATATTTTGCACCCAAGTAAACAAAAAATGTTACTGGTCCTGGCAGGTCTGTCCTTATGTTATCAGCAATCTTTGCAGCAAGGCCAAAGACAGTGATATCACTTGACACCCAGGAACATCACCGTGATTTAAGTCACTCACATACATAGGGTATAGTTCACATGAGATCACAGGACTGTCTCCGTGCAAAAGAGGAAGTTCCTAGACAAGTGTTARGAAACCCATCCCTGGCTCAGTACTTACCAAAGCAAAATGAAGTTTTTGGTTTCTGCTTTGGGGTAGCTACGCTCACCTACATCAAATAAAAAATAAAAGAAATGTGAATGTTGTTTCTAACAGGGTTGAAAACTGTTCACAGATTAAAAAGAATACACTGTACATATGTATACATTTTAAGAAATAACCATTGAGAATCCTGCACTTATTACCTCCATTAAGAAACAGGCATTATCAGTCCTGCTTCTTAGAAGCCCTCTGTGTGCTCCTCCCTGATAGAATCCCCACCTCACAGAGATCTTTTTATCTGTGTTAATCTTTTTATCTGTGTTAGTCTGTTATCTGCTATCTTTTTATCTGTGTTAATTTTTTGTCTTTGTAAAAACATGTTTAAAAGTCACTGGGACCTGACAAGATTGTTTTTAGCCCATAAGACAGGCCTGGTCCCATACACACCAGCAGGATTCCGTTCCTCTTTCAACCACCAACTCCCCTTCTTAAATAGTCTCCAAAACGAAGGGGTTCTTGCCACAGATGCATAGATTTTAATCAGAGCACTCAGAATGGGGAAGCAGCCTGACACTCACTGCATTTGGACACACTGACCAATGGCCTTACTATCTACCCTGACCACGAAAATAAGTACTGTCCATGAACCCAGAGAGGGACTGAGGAGTCAAGATCCTACTGAGGTATTTAAGGGGTGAGAATGAGAAAGTGGAAGTATCTTTCTACCTCCTGTTGCTTTATTTCTTAGCTTTCGCAATCCTACCTCTTGCATGTACATTCCAGAGGATCTACATATGCAAACCCACACCACTCAAGTTCACACAACTCATATTCCATCATATGACCACACAGACAATCATTGTGACTGGTTGAACCTCACTGGAGCGGGCCTCCAGCACTCTACCTGGAATCTCTAAAGAGGCAGTCACTTTCCCAGGAGACCTGTCCACATACTGTCATTATCCTTCCAGGCRTACTACTCCCTCAGTACCCTTCCAACCTCAGGCCAGTTTTCTGGTTCTCACCTGAGGGCTCCAGGGACGATTCCTGCTTTAACAGACAGGGCAGGAAGGAGCTGAAGTCTTGAGTCAAAATTAAGGTTCATGAGTTATAACTGCTAAGGTCTAATAATGACTTGACCCACCAGTCTCTAGGTTCTTGCTCTTGATCGTAAGTTTTTTCTTATAGAGCTGCCCAAATTCCTTGACTAAAATTAGTATTTTCTCAAGTACTCAAATGGGAACTATGACAGAACCCTATAAAAGGTCAAAAGAAGGACAGGCAGTAAATACAGCCTGGGCTTTGGATTTGAGACAGTGTCTCAAATCACAGATGTCTCAACTGTGTGACCTCCATTTCATATCATGTTCTCATAGGGCTGACGTGAGGATTCAATATGATAGTGCAGGTAAGGCACTTACCTATCCTGTCACACAGAACGTGCTCATTCAGGGAGGAACTATTTATAGTTTCTGATATCTCATTTCCTTTAAAAACCCACTGCTTATCACAACAGTGCCACACTTGAAACTATGGGCAAAATGCTGAAAGTCCATGAGCAAAACTGCATGGTGACCTGAAAAAAATACCTGGCTTCCAACATACAAAACAAAGGTGGTAATAAAATGCCTGTATAACACTATACCAACCTCACTGATAACTATTTAACTAAATACAAGAAGTCATCTTAAGTCAACTTCAAGTTTTCAATTAAGCATGCAGAATTTTTTCATTACATCTGAAAATAATTTGGAGCYGAAATTATCTTAGTTCACAAAAATCCTTGTACTTTTGCAAGACGACTGTCCAGAAATTGGAGCTGATTATAAATTATGTGTCTTAYAGCCAAATCATGCCAAAGCAAAGTGCACTCTTTCTAATATTTTGTAGCTAAAATCTTGCATGTATACACACATTTTTTTTAATCATAAAGGAAGGAGGTTTATTTTGGCTCATGGTTTTAGAAGTGCAAGCTGAGGGGCCACAACTGGTGAAGGTCTTCTTGTTCATAAGAGTCCCAAGGTGGCACAGGGCATTACAAGGCAAGAGACAGGGAATGTGCATGTATGTGTATCCATACTATTTAATGAGGAAGTGGGTGTATTTTTGTATATTTAACATGATGTGAGGTGGAAGCCATAGGGCCWAAGAAAAGTCTGAAAAACATGAAGACATAAACAAAGGAAAAGCCCATATATCCTGAGTTTAGACACAGACTACCCAAATCACTCATGTCTGCACAATTCACAGGTTAACACACAGGATACTGGCACCCTATAAACTCACAGCCCTGGACCCATTCTATCTTGTTTTCCTGGGTTTGGGTCAGAACCACAGTGGACAGAGTCACCCTGTTTGTGTGTCTTATACTGATTTGCAGGACTCATTTTCTTACTGTCACTCAGCACCCATGTTCCCACACATACTCTTGCCCATGATCTGCTTGTCTGCACTTCATTTCTATATAACCCTGACCATATAGAGATGTCTTGGCCTCAGTGCCCACTTATCCAGCTTAAGAATGGCACTGAAGTCTGGCACCCAGAGACCCACTATGGTTTATTCAGAAAATGGCCTTTTCTCTGAGACGCTCATATTTATCATTTACTACAGAGCACCCTCGACTGACTTCACCCTGCCTGGATTACAAATGGTCTGTTTAAACAACTCAGTAGCAGCCTCCACTGTGAGAACCCTACCCCTGTGCTTAATGTGGGAAGTGAAGGACCCAAAGAGTGTGTGTGGCTTTTTGCTTGTTTTTCCATCCTTCTCCAATCTGCAGTCAGGGGGTACATGGGAGTGCACACATATACATTCTACTGTGCCACACAGGGATTACCCAGCAAAGCAACTCATCCCTGAACTAATAGGATCGGTTCTATTAGTTCAAGGGTGAACATTCTCCACATCCTGATCAACTTCCCAAGAAGTAAAGCTAGACTATAAATACTAGTCCCCTTCAAATCACAGAACAGCAAGAGGAAAAAATGAAACCCTATCTACCTGTTTCTGTGTGCCCCAGAAAGACCAAGGAAGGAGTTTCATTTAGTTTGGAAATATGGCTGTGACCCCTCTTGACATTCTGCCACCAGGAGGTGTGATCCCTTCCTGCCTGCCACTGCCTGTTGGTGATCATGCCAGGCTACTGTACTGACTTCGGACATGGGGAAGGAGGAGAGGACCTGCATGAAGCAGCGCAGCTGCAAGTGGGCAAGGACATCTGATAGTCTGGCTTCAAGTGAGGGCATCTAAGTGCAAACATCCTCCCACCTGAGGTGGCCACAGTTTAGTCCCTGCACCACTGAGGTTGACTGGCAGGTCCTATAAACACCCAGCAATGAAAAGAGACCAGAGACTTGTGGAGGGGAGTGGGCATGGGTCACCTACTAAGTGAAGCAGATAGGGTTGCTCCACAGCTCAAAAAAAGACTCAGGAACTTGATCTTATCAGATCAAACACAGACCCAGAGGCGGTTAGCTCCACAGTAGCAGCAGCAGCAGGGCACTGCTAGAGCCAGCTCCACCCTGTCTTCCCTTGGCCGGAAGTGGAGCTGGGGCCCCTCTGGCAGGAGTAGCAACAGCCAAACCAGATCCTGGAGTGCTGCTTGGCTCTGCCCTGGGACCTGGAATGATCTTATTGAAATAGCAATAAGAGCAAGAGAAGAGGCAACTCCCTATATGGATAACCAGAAGGGTTTTAAGTTTGGGTCTATGGACCAGTCTTAGGCAAAGTCAGGGTTTGTACATACATATATACATTTAACTGCAAAACGACTCTATACTTCGATCAATCTCTCAAAAGAACCCATGACCCACACCTAAACAAAAATAAAGAAATAGGAAAGTCAAGAATCAGCAGTGTCTTGAGGAAGCTCTCCCTGATAGGTAACAGAGACCAAGCCCTGACAAAATAGGACCAGACTAGGCGTGGGACAGTAGGGCTGGCTATGAAAAGATGGTWAGAATGGAAGAGAAGGGCCACAGAGCAAAGAGGTAAAGTAGGTGGTATCAAAGACCAGTTTCAATTGTTTTCTAGTTTGGCCAAAAACTGGCTCTGCTGCTGTGGGTCCCCTGGATGACATCATATCTGGCCCTTTCATCTCTGAATTGCCCCCTGAAGGACTACATGCCAGTCCCTATCTTCCCAACTCTAGCCTTCAGAAGACCCTTACACAAATACCCCCATATACACAAGGCAAACCAGGCCTCTGACATTGTGGGCGTATGTTTTACCCTTGGAGGGAATACCTCAGGGTTAATGACAACCTGGAACACCAAACTGGACACCAGCACCCAAGGCTGTTTCTCTCGGAAAACCCCTGCTTTCTGGCATTGGGTCAGGCAGGAGTTAAAGGCTCTCAGTTCTCTGTAACCTGACCCAGTAGCAGCTGTGGGTTTGCAAAAGGCCCAAGCAGGCCTGCCTGTCTCAGAAAGGGCTAAAAGTCAGGTCATCCTTTCTAAATGAGGCAGCCTCCAAAGAAGAGAATACTAAAAATCCCTCGTCTGAATCTGAGCTGCATTTATAAATCATGATTCAGCAGGAGATTAAATTCACTCTCACCAAAAAAAAAAAAAAAAAAAAAGTTTTTCCAAACCCTCTTAAACAGAAGAGAGTTTCAGTTTTCATTTTTTACAAGGTTCTCTGCTCCCTCCCCTCTTAATTCTCCTTCTGGAGAAATGACCTAATGAGCTCACAGCAAGAGGAGGACAAGAGAGGGGAGGGAAGGCAGGCCCAGGTCTGGCATGGGGAGGCAGCCACATTTCTAACCACAAGGCAAGCACAAATTGCCCGCAGCTGTGCTAGCAAAGCTATACTTTTAAAGGCCCTTCCCCCTTCCCCTGAGGCCATTATCTCCTCCCTCTAATCCACTCAGAGCATCTTCTGGGTTTTCACTGAGCTGTATCTGCCAGACTCTGCCTGGCCGCTGCAGGCATAAGGTCAGCCTGYCCCTTCAGCTAAAGATGGCTGCTCCTCCCTGAGCCTGGGGCACCTCCAGATTCCCTTCCGGAGCAACTGAGGTGGAAGCTGACCACAAGGCATCCAAACCTGTTACCAGAAGGAGTTGGTGGCCACTCAGCTCAGGGACTTCCCTTTTCCCATCTTAAGACCCTAAGGGTGGGAGAGTGTGGTCAAGGAAGCAGTAGCCCCCAGAAAGCCTGAAGTGAGGGGTGTGTACGGAGAGCAGAACTTCCGGAGCCTTGGAGCTGGCTGAGTGCCACCTGGCTCTTCTCAGTGTACAAAGAGTTCCTCTTTCTGGGGAGGCTCTAAGTCCCCCGCCCCCTGCCTTTTTATCATTGCTGCATCATGGGTCAGCAGTGGTGCCTGCCCTAGGGAGGGGCTGCTAAAAGCAGCTGAATTCAGCAGTTACACTGGGCATCTTAACCAGCCCCCACAGCCAGGTCTCAGCCCAGAAGACAGGCTGCTCTTGCCCCTTTATGTAAACTGGACTACGGGACTTGGGGATGGCCTGTTAGCTGCCTGCCAGTTATATGGCCATGTGTGCTCCTGGCACCTAGGAGTGCCTTCTCTGACATTATTGACCTTCCCTCCACAGGCATAYTGTCCAGGTGATGGGTAAGATTTTAGGAGGACCCAGATCTTTCTTGCTTACTACTCTTTAACATACCCATTGAGAGAACCCTTTAAAATTACTGGACTTAGGTGTTTATGTTACTTTTTGTCCCAGTTAATTAAAAAAAAAAAGTTTATCCTACTAATACCCCCTAGTTCAGCTACCACCCGCACACACCCCTTTTGGAGGAGGTGAGAGCATTATGGACCACTACCATATGGATCTAGAACATCCCTTGAAGACCCATAGCTTGAAGCTAGTGGGAGGTGATGAGGCCTTTAGGAGGTAAAGCCCATGAGGAGGTCTTTAAGTGATTTGAGGACATGCCCTTGAAGGGGATCATGGAACCCCAAACTCTTTTGCTTTGCACTGCCATACACTTTCATCTTGATGTGCCCCTCTCCACATACCCCAAAGCAACAGGGCCAACAGACCATGGACTGAAAACTCTAAAACTGTGAAACAAAATAAACCTTTTCTCTTCAAAATTTGATGGTCTAGGGAYTCTATCACAGTGATAGAAAGCTGGGACTGATGTGTCCAAGGAGGAAGAGGCTGTGGGCCTGCCTTCCAGGAACTTAGGAACCACCACCACACCCACCCKTCAGGAGCAAATCTTCCATAGGCAATCTAAGGGCAAAGGGGACATTTTAATGCCTCTGGAATGTCCCCAAATGATAAAGCCCCAAGGATATATAACACTTCCTCTTATTTAGATACCAAACCTCCTTAGAGAATAGGAAATTCCCAGAGCTCCAGGTCAACATTACCTTCGAGATGTACGTCAGCTGCAAAGATCCAACAGCCCCTGCGCCAACTGCCAGGTTCTGAAAGACACATGTTGTTCATTTTAAGAAGGAGCCCTGTGAGGCAGCGAACCCAGCACCAAAAGACAACGTCAAGAAGCCATTTCAGTTTGTCACTTTCTGGCCTCCAAACCTTGGGCAACTCTCCCAACATTTCTTCAGTTCCCTTTCCTTGCCTGTAAAACAAGGATATTAATTCCTGGATAATAATTCCATTATCATTTTTTCCATCAGGAAACTCTCACCTCACTTATTATAGTGAGTTATTCCAAGGCAATGGTTAAAAGTCTGCTCTACCATTTGACTCTAAAGTTCTTTAACCACTGAGCCTCAGTTTTCCCTTATGTAAAAATAATGACTATAATACAAGTTATCTAAAATGCCTAGGACAAGAAACATTTGAATTTCAGATTTTTCTCAGGTTCCGAAATATTTGCACATACAATGAGAAATCCTGGGGATGGACCCCCGAGTCTAAACAGGAAATTTCATTTATGTTTCACATATACATTATACACGTAGTCTGAAGGTAATTTTATACTTTTTTGGGGGGGGGGCGGTTACTGGGGATTGAACCCAGGAGTCCTTAACCACTGAGCCATATCCCTAGCCCTTTTTTATATTTGATTTAGAGACAGGGTCTTGCTGAGTTGCCTAGGGCCTCATTAAGTTGCTGAGGCTGGCTTTGAACTCACAATTCTCTTGCCTTCCAAGCCACTGGGATTATAGGCAGGCCACCACTCCCGGYTATACAATGTTTTTAATCCACCTGCATTTTGACCCCAAACCTATCACATGAGGTYAGGTGTAAGATTTTCCAGTTGTGGCATCATAATAGCATTGAAAAGTTTCATATTTCAAAACATTTTGGATTTTTGAATTTTCAGATTAAGAATACTTCACCTGTAATACTTATGTTAAAAGACAGTTGTAAGGGTAAGTTAATAAATAATATTTAAGAGTGCTTGGGGCTGGGGTTGYGGCTCAGTGGTACAGAGCTTGCCTAGGGCTTGCCTAGCACGTKCGAGGCCCTGGGTTCCATCCTCAGCACATTAAAATAAAGATATTGTGTCCAACTACAACTAAAAAATAAATATTTTTTTAAAAAGAGTGCTTGGAATTGTCCCTGTTACATAGAATACTCTTAACAAATGTTAGCTAGTATGGTTTTTTCAACCCTAACTGATCTGACTTTATTGACTTTGTCCTGTTTGGGGTATTTAAAAATCTTTCCATAATACATACAGAGCTTACAAACTCACACAATATAGAAATTAGCCTCCTTCACAGGACTGCTATGAGTAGCAAATGAAATGATCTCTGGACACCAAAAAACAATAATTACATATACTATTAAAACAGAAAGAAGCTCACAGGCACCATGTCTGGCAATACATTCCACCTTGGCATAACCTTATTGGCTTTCCAATTACTCCAGTGTCAGKGATGAAGCAATATAAACACTGGGATTATAGGTTAATACCAAGGCATTGACCAAGATATCATAGCTGTGGAGTTTCTAATATGTTATCTTGGAAAATCCACTCCCCCATGAACCTGAGAATCTAGAGCTCCCAATGACCTTGAAAACTGTTACCATTGGTCTCAAAGAAGCACTTTTGAAGTCCCCAATACCTGGGGTTATCTCAAAGCAATAAAAGAAGGTAAATCTTAGATCAAGGAAATTTATTAAATTTACCTAAGGATTAACAGCAAAATGACCTATCGTTCCAGGAGACAGCTTTACTAAATACCTAAGATGACAATGAAGAGTCCTTCTAGCCCCAATTATCTAACTTAACATACATCTTTGAAGCAAATTCAACGTATAAAATTTCCTATCACAATAAAATAGATAGGGATAGCAACAACAAAAGTATTCTGAGAATCCCAGAATCCTGTGCTGGGATTGTGGCTGAGAGGTAGAGCGCTTGCCTCGCATGTGTGGAGCACTGGGTTCAATCCTCAGCCCACATAAATAATAAAATGAAGGTATTATGTCCATCTACAACTAAAAATAAAAAATAAAAAAGAATCCCAGAGTCCTAGCCAGTTGTGGTGGCACATGTAATTTCAGCAGCTTGGGAGCTGAGGCAGGAGGATCTGAGAGTTCAAAGCCAGCCTCAGAAACAGCAAGGCCCTAAGCAACTCAGCAAGAATCTGTCTCTAAACAAAATATTATTTTAAAAAAGGGCTGGAGATGTGGCTCAGTGGTTAAGTGGCCTTGTGTTCAATCCTGGTACCGAAAAAAAAAAAGAACCCCCAAATCCTAGTAAAAGACCTAAAAAAGACCCTGTACTCCAACTCCCTCCTTTTGCAAATGAGGCACTAAGTCTGAAAACTGCCTTTGAGGGACTAGGGGTAAGGCAATGGTAGAGTGCTTACCTAGCACATGTGAGGTCCTAGGTTCAATCCCCAGCATTGCAAATTAAATAAGAGCTGCATTTGAGTAACCATATTAGCATTTAAAATGAGGGTGATCTGATTTGCACTTTCATTTACATATTTTTTTCTGTCTTCATAGTAACTGCCTTTTTTCTTTTTTAAGAAAACCTGGGTTAAGAGAAACAGTGTACATGTATGAATATGTAACAATAAATCCCATCAGTGTGAATAACTATAATGCATCAATAAAAATGTAGAAAAAATAAAATTGTAAAAATTGTTAATGGAGGGCCGGGGATGTGGCTCAAGTGGTAGCGAGCTCGCCAGGCATGCATGCGGCCTCAGCACCACATACAAACAAAGATGTTATGTCCGCCGAAAACTAAAAAATAAATATTAAAATTCTCTCTCTCTCTCTCTCTCTTTAAAAAAATTGTTAATGGAAAAAAAAAAAAGACAAGCCTATGGAACAATATCCTTGATGAACAGATGCAAAAAACCTCAATAAAATATTTGCAAACAGAATTTAACAACAAATTAAAAAAATCATACACTATGATTTGAGTTGGTGATAAAAAGTATTTCATGATAAAAGCTCTGAATAAATTAGTGTAATGGTTAATCTGAATTGTCAACTTGATTGGATGAAGAGATACTGATGATTAGGAGGCTTCTGGGTGTGTCAATGAGGGTGTGTCTAGGAACGATTGGCACATGGGATAGCAAACTGAAGCAGAGACAGACCCTCCCTCTGTGGGCAGCACAGGTCCAATAAGATGGTGACTTGGATGGAATAAAAGTTGGAAGAACAAAGAAGCAGCAGCAAACAGAAGCTCAATTCTTTCTGAATGGGTTCTTGATTGCTGCTGCCATTGCCTGAGGRTATCAGACTTTTGCTTCTTCTTCCTTCCAAAGCAGACTCTGCCAGTGATTATCCAGGGAGTTTCCAGAAGCCTTTTGTCTTGGACTAGGGTAGCACCACTGATTCCTCTTGTTCTGAGGCTTCAGCATCTTGGACTGCACAGCTATTGTTTCCTCCAGCTCTCCAGCCTGTAGACAGCCACTGTGGATTATCCAGCTTCTGGTCATGAAAGCCAATCTAATAAATCCCCTTTTTATAATCATACTTCCTGTTGATTCTGTTCCTCTAGAGAACCCTGACTAATACAACTAGGTATAGAAGGATCACTCCTCAATATAATAAAGGCTATACATGACAAATCCATAGCCAACATTGTACTGGATGCAGAAAAACTGAAAACATTTCTTCTAAAATCTGAAACAAGTCAAGGGTGTCCACTCTCACCCTCTTATTCAATATAATACTTGAATTKTTTTTATTTTTGTACTGAGGATTGAACCCACAAGTGCTTAACCACCGAGCCAAAATCCCCAGCCCTTTTWAATATTTTATTAAGAGACAGGGTCTCACTGAGTTGCTATGTGCCTCATTTAGTTGCTGGGGCTGGCTTTGAACTTGCAATCCTCAGYCACCCCAGTCACTGGGATTATAGCAATGTGCCACCACACTCAGCAATACTTGAAATTTTAACCTGTGMAATCAGATAAGAGAAAGAAATAAAAAGGAATAATAATAGAAAATGAGGAAGTCAAATTAATCCTGTTTACAGATAATCTTATTCTATACCTAGAAAACAAATATTCTACCAAAGACTCTTAGAACTAATCAACAAATTCAGGCAAGTAAGAGGATACAAATATCAACATATAAAAATCAGTATAAACCATAAACTGATAATGAAGTCACTAAGASATCAGGAAAACAATCTTGTTCACAATAGTCTCAAAAAATAAAATACCAAGGAATAAGCCTAATCAAGGAGGTGTAAGACCTCTACAATGAAAATTATAAAGCACTGGGAAAAGAAATTTTAGAAGACACAAGAAAATGGGAAAACCTCCCATGTTCATGAATTGGAAGAATCAATATTGTTAAAAGAGCCATACTGGGGCTGGGGCTGGGRCTCAGTGGTAGAGMGCTCACCTAGCACATGGGAGGCACTGGGTTTGATCCTCAGCACCACATAAAAATAAATACATAAAATAAAGTTATTGTGTCCAATTACAACTAAAAAATATTTTTTTAAAAAAGGGCCATACTACCAAAAGCAATCTACAGATTCAGTGTAATCCTCAGCAAAATACCAATGACATTTTTCACAGAACTAGGAAAAAAATTGTAAAATTTGATGAAAGCACAAAAGACCCCAAATAGCCAAGGTTGTCCTAAGTAAAAGTACAATGCTTAGTACTTGATTTCAAAATCCACTAGAGAGCCATAGTAACAAATACAACATGGTATTAACCTAAAACCAGACACGGAGACCAATAGAATAGAACAGAGGACCCAGAAATAAACTCATACACCTACAACCAAGTGATTCTTGACAAAAGTGCCAAAAAACATATACTGGAGAAAAGACAAACAACAAATGGTGCTGAGGAACTGTATGTCCRCGTGTAGAAGATTGAAAGTAGGCCCCTGTCTCTCACCCCACACAAGTAACAATTCAAAATGGATCAAAGATCTTAATCTAAGACCCGAGACTTTGAAACTACTAGAGGAAAACACAGAAGAAGCACTTCAAGATATTGGCACAGGCAATAATTTCCTG